AGAGAGAGAGAGAGCTTGGTGACATTGGATCCAGACTCGACATGGGACTTCAGACATTTTGAAGAGGGATTATTTGGGACTTGTAACGAGACTTGGTGTTGACGACTTTCCCATCTCCCCCTTCCTCTTCTTCGTCTGATTCTTTCCTCTTCGTCTGTGTATGTCTGGACCTGGCGCCACTTTCCTGTGTATAGCGCCAGGCCCCTTCACACCTTGTGATGAGCATGATGTATGTTTGGTCTGCGTTGAAACATTAATTGGGCTAGTCATTAGTATTCTAGCATTCTGCTTCGCTATCTTGTACTACGTGAAAGAGGTCAGTCTCGGTCAGGTCAGGATTTGTATCTAAGTCTTCCCTGCGCTATCAAGCACCATTTTGTATGTATCGGAATGCACATTGCTTGTGAGATTCTACTTGCACTGCATTGTCCATTCAGTCCTTTTTATCACATTGCGGATCCTCGGTTTATATGTACATCGCCCAACTGGGCATGTAACAGGTGAGGAGGGAACATGGTACTTGGAACCCTTCCAAATACCACTAATATAACAGGGGTGAGGGGTAAATCAGTGAGGAGGGGTGAGGAGGGAACATGGTATTTGGAAGGGTATTTGGAACCCTTCCAATGTAACAGGGGTGAGGAGGGATAAATCAGTGAGGAGGAGGGGTGAGGAGGGAACATGGTAATGTGGAAGGGTATTTGGAACCCTTCCAAATACCACTAATGTAACAGGGGTGAGGAGAGGTAAATCAGTGAGGAGGAGGGGTGAGGAGGGAGCATGGTACACTAGAATACGAGGGACAGAGCGGAGGGCTCTGGGGGAGTCCTTGGGTCAGGAACGGGTGGAATAAATATCTTGGCCCTCACAACGATGAAGAGTGCAGCGAAATGCGATACTGGATATGAATTACAGGGGCAAAAAAAAAAGAAAAAGAATTAGAACAGTATGTACCCGGGCACTTGGTTCGGGAGTCGCATTAGACAAGCAGCTGGTAAGGAGGGTAGGAGTGCCATAACTTCACAAAGTGCCAATTCGGTCCCAACCCCACCACCTGCGCCATAGGTGATTCCTCCTCACCCCTCCTCCTCACTGATTTACCCCTCCTCAACCCCTGGATCAGGGCCCAGGGCTCCCTCCTTACCCCTCCTCCTCACTGATAGCATGGTATTTAGATGGTAGTGTAGAGTAGTAGTAGTACAGACGGCTTCTGTGATCACTCACGAGTAGCCAAGATAATGGTGGCTCGTTACACAAGAACAGTTTTCACTGGGAACTGGTAGGGGTGGCTCAGTCTTTTCTGTTAAACCGCTAATACATGGCCCCAGTCTTGTAGAGAATTATCTGTCCCCAACTCCGAAAAAGTGGGACCGGCATGCTGTCGATAAAATACATCGGTGGCGGCCAGCGTCACATTTCGGCATCCGAAAGGGGCCCGCGGCCGATGTATGGCATGTACTGGTGGTTTAATCCGCCAGTTCGCCCAACGCAGAGTGTCAAACCGGCAGTTGATGCAAAGCAGAGTTCTAAACCACCAGTTCACCGAAGCCTAAGTTCACAAAGCTACCTTCCAAGACTCGCAAACCTGCAACAGCGCCTTTTCAAATTGGCCTGCCGCTTTTGCTACCGGCCCAGGCCCGAATCAAAATGCTATTGTGGCGTAAGCCTGTCAGAGCACTACTTAGGTTCACTTGAACTGGCAGTTTAAACCACCATCAGCCGCGGGTGTCAGGCTGACGCCAGTAGAACTTCGGAGGCTGCATTTTTTTTTTGATGCCAATGCCGCCTACCACTTCGGAGGCGGCCTTATTTTTTTAATCTATGTCATCCCGCCCCGCCCCGCCCCGCCCCGCCCCGCCCGGCCTGCGCCCGAAATCTGGATTCAGCGGCAATGAGATATTTCTGCAAGGCTGGGGCCATGTACTGTAGTTTAAACTACAGTACCTTTCCCATATATCAGCCGCGGGGCCCGGGCAGAAAAAAAGGCCTGAAGTGGAAAATGGGTCGCTGATGAAATTTATCGACTGCCGCCCGATCCCACTTGGCTTCCGGATCGCGTATCTGATTTTCGACCGGGGAAAGGTACTGGTGGTTTAACAGGCTTCTCCTGTTGTGGTAGTTGGCTTTTTGTTTTTTTGTTGCTTAGATTTTCTCTATTCCTGATGTGAGAGGACACTGCTGGCTGGAGTTGCCACTGTTGGTCCTGTTTCGGATCGTCAGGCTATGCCACACCAATCACCAAATCCACAAAAGACAAACATTATGGCCGTGTATCGTTCCTTGTTCTTGGAGGA